TCATTAAGTGAAGTGGTTAATCTTCATCAAATGGGTTTCTTTTCTTATTTCAGGGTAAACCTTGGATTTTTTGTGGGTTTCAACTTTTATATGGTTTTCTCATCCAGCCTACCCATGCTTGGATAATTCTGTATATGTGGGAGTTCGAGGAAAAAAATGCCGAATGAAGAACATAGATTTAGTTTGTTTCTATGATTCTGAAAAGAGAAAAAGAATAAACAACGCTGAGCTCCAAGTCACATCAACAATTTAAAAGGATAAAAAAAACTAATTGCATGATATATTTAATCACAAAAAGCCTACATCAATAGGCTTTCATAAATTTTCATATAATTGTAAATTCATATAATAAAAGAGCAACCAATTAAAGGCCTCATTATAAAAGAAAATCCAACTGCCATAGTGAGTATATGGCACATAATTATAATTCTCAAATAATATAACTTTGTTTAGATAGTTGAGAAAACTACTAAGAAAAAGATTAGAAAGATTTACTACCTAGTTAAATCCTAAACCCTAGCATCAACGAAAGTTAGTCAATGCCATCGATCAACCACGGAATCTACTCCAAATAGGGATAAAAATTCTCTACAGGTGGGAATTGCCTTTGGTAAGTATCGTAGAGACTTCTTTCAAATGCCTTCAAGTTGTACAAGTCGTCTGGATGGATAGTTGATTCATCAATGTATCTAGACTCGAGCAGACTGTCAGGCAACAATGGCATGGATGAAGCTCTGGCACCAATTGCTTGTGGGTGCCCAATATTTGGATAACTGGGCACTTCATTCATGGGGACTGCTTGCAGTTGGCTATGAACCATGCCATTATGTGATACACCATAAACATTTTGCATGATTGAGTATTTGTTGTCATACTCCACCATAGGATCAAAAAGGGTTCTCATCTCCATCTCCATCTCCATGCCTTCCCCATTTATAATCTGGGGCTGCGGGGATAGAGAATCCTCGACATGATTTCGAGTTTCACATCTTTTGCTGTTCTTATCAACTTTCTTATAAATTCTACAGAGTACCCAATTATCCAACTGCAAACAACAAAACTTATTTTCGTAAGCATCACAAATTTCAACTCTGGGATATATAGTTAGATTTCATTCTCAATTATATAGAAGGAGAATATGCATACCCTCATGTCATTCTCTCCCCTTTTTCTTCGAACGGGAGAATCCTTGACTCGAAACTCATGCATGATCCAGTTGGTCTTGTCACCCTTTGGAGGTTTCCCTCTGTAAAACACAAGAGCCTTTCTGAATCCAACAAGACCACCGTTAGACCTAACTGCTTTGTCAGCTCCAGTGGCCTTCCAGTATCCATCACCAGCTGCTCTCTTTGGCCGACTACCATTTTTATACTTCCGGTCCCTCGGAGTAAAAAAATACCATTCAGCTTCTCCATATTTCCTATATTTATCTGTTAATTATCATAAAAAAGAGAAAGCGTTACAATATTATAGGTACTTCTCATCATCTAAATTAAGTAAAAGAAACGAAAGTGTATTAAGAGATTTTAGGTAACACGGCTATCAGTGCACCCAGTTGATCTCAGAACCACCATGCATCCTGTGAAAAATTATCTAAACACATAGCAAAAGAACATGTTAAAATGCAGCTTTAATCTTAGTGATGATAATGCATACATTTTACAAATGTATTCTGCTGCATGGCACTATTTCACTATATATATAAATTTCTGTGAGATGCACTTATGAAACTCAGTTAATAACAAAAATATACTAAACCCTAAACACAACAATCCTACATGAGAAAAACATCCACACAACGTTAGATCATTATGAAAATCTAATGAAGAATCAGTACATAACCCTAGGGATATTGATACAAAAATTAGTAATGCACAATTTTCCTTTATTGACATGTACCAGCAAGAAATTCCGGATTGTGGCGGTATAGGTTAACTTCAATGATCCGGTTGGGAGGCAAGGGCTGATACAAGACCTTCTTCTTCAGATAATGCACAATAAGTTCCTCATCGAGAGGGTTGAACCGATAACCAGGCGGGAACGAATTGAAAAACTCATCTTCCTCATTTTTCAGATTGTTATTGAAACTGTTTGACTCATCATCCGAAAGCTCTGTGCCCGCAGACACATTGGTTATGAAAGAATTTCCAGGCTCGTTTGGTTGAGTGAGTTCATGAGTGAGATGAGCTTGAGCATGAGATTGCTTGTTGATGAGTCTATAAGAAGCCACTTGGGAAGTAACAGAAGCCTTGTGATGCTGATGACTTTGTTCAACAGGCTCCATTGTTGGACTATCTTTGAGGGAGAAGACACTGGCAGAGACGCAAGCTTGAGTCTTCCTCTTGGTTTCTATGGGAATGTTACAACTGTTTATGGACTTGAATGTATTTTGAACTTAGTTTTAGTAGTTTGAACATGGCTTTTCCTTTTGGTTTCTATTCAAATTTGGGAATATGTTTTGTCATAAACTGCACTGCAGTTTCCGTTTGTTACAGTTTTTGACTAGAAACTGAAGTGTAGTTTCTTGTTTCATAATTCGATTTTAGACTAATATTTGTGTTGGTCCCGCAAATCTCACGTCCTGGTGCTCCGGGCCGAGGGGATCCGCACCAACACAGGTCGTCCTTCTTTGGTGCGGTGCGGTTGTGTGCAGGCGTGCCAGCACGGTCTACCATGCATTCGATGATGATGCAAGTGGATGGATGGATGAGTTGCGCGCCTATTCGAGTCTGACTTCTAATCAGAGCGACTGTGGCCAAGAAAGGAACTAATCTCGGTCGTCAGGTTCACGGCCTGAGCTACAAGGCCGTTAATGATGGTGTTAATGGTGGATTTTTAGGCGGTGCTCCGTCGGAGGCTTATGTTTGGTGTTGAACCCTTTAAATGTAATTGGAGCTTGGTATTTATAGAAGAGACTCTGGGAGGAAGGCGAAGATGATATCTGCATGACGTGGTCAATCAGAGATAGTGGGTAGTCTGAACAACATTTGGGAATGTGAAGTATGGTGGTGTGACCCACATAAATCTGGGTCGCCGCCCTGATCGTCGATTCTGCATCTTGGGCCTTGGAGGAGCATTTAATGTTCTGGTCTGATGGTTGGTGACTTAGCCTTACAAGTCATAAGATTTCGCACCTAATCATCCTGATTTTACTCACCGTACACTGACTCCAATCACTTACCTCCTTCCCTTATGCATTAAATGTAAATTCTTCTTTTGCACGAATCATGGGTCTTCTGCTGCAGTCAGGAGCATTATCTCATTAAATGAAATGTGGGACCTTAATGACACGTGGAAATGCCCCTTGACTTTTCCACTTTGGCCGTGTATTTGAGGGGTTACTATTTTCTTCGTTCAAAGTTCACCGTGGTCGTGAAGACTTCTCCTTCATAGATCTCCCTCATTCTACGAGGAAGAGCGGATGACAACCTGTCGTGCTCAGCTTTTGGGCAGGTGCCTTGGCCTAGAGGTTGTTCCTTCGGTCAACCTCACAGGCCGAGATTTTCAGGCACAAACAATTTGCAAGTCTATGGGAATGTTACAACTGCTCATCTACATTATTTACTGATTTGAATTGTTTTCTATGTTTGTTTGTTGTTTTGTTTGCATTTTCAAGGCTAATGGAGGTTTGTGTCATAGCCAAGTGCACATATAAGTCGGAAACCATTATGTTTTCAGTTTCAGCAAAGTCATCTGAAATTGGTGACAACCTAGGCACTCAGAAGGACCCGTCAATCTAGGCATCCCCTGTGCTAGCAACAACTATGGTGAAAGTGTGTGAAAGCATCATAATCAAGTAAACATCAGACAGTAGAAAATGATGACTAGTCAACCGCAAGAACACGAACCCAGAAATACATGTGATGACTAGTCAACTGTCAAGAACACAAACCCAGAAAATTAAGAGATGCAAACCATAAATTTGTTCACCCATAAAGCCACCATTGGGAAAAACTGGGGGTCATCAACCGACCAGGTATTCACTAAGCAAAAAGATTCTTACAAAGAAACACTAGCAAGCTCAACAAATCCTAGGTCTATTTAGGAAAATGAGATATACCTCCTTTGTGCAATCTTCTTCTCTAGCTTAGCAAAAACCAGCAACAGTCTTTCATGGCAATGGCAGCTTCTTCTTCAACTCTATCATCCCATGGCACCAGCTAGTTAGCTCCAACTCAGATAAAAAACGAAATTTGGATTCAAAGAGAAAATGACCAATTTCTTCAAGAAACCATACTCTTGAAGAAATCAATCTTGAATCTAACCTAGATATATCAAGATGAGGTTTTCATATTTCAAATGCAGTTTTCAAAAAGAAACAATTTGGAAAACTCAAAGATGAAAAATATGAAGGTTACTCTTGAGGAAGAAGCGAAAGTTTTGCAAAGAAACTTTCCAAAACTTGCCTACAAAAGTCACACCAGCCAAATGAGGAATGCACTCATTTTTACACAAAAATTCCTTGGTTAGAATCGTACAAGGTAGTAGAGAATTTCGCATAATAGGACAAAAACAAATGGGTAGGGTCCAGCTGG